ATTCTTTCATTGTTTTACAAACCCTCCCCCAGGTCCCCTCCATCATGCAGCCCTCGCTCTAGTCTCCTGTGATGACAGAAACACCCAGTTACATATCTCTTTTAAACAGCTTTCTCCCTTCCATCTTTTGATAACTTCCTGGATCACTCAAAATTTTGCCCATAGCATCTCTTAATATTGCAACTTGAAGCTTGAATTTACTTTTCAGTTCTTTCAGCTTGAGAAATGCCAAATGAGTTCATCCCTTTTTATTCTCCAGCTCAACCTTTTTGCACATTATGTTATAATATTTCATCATCTCAAGCAGCAATTCTGATTTGCATTCAACTAATGTATCTTAGTTGTGTGATCACTTTATACTGCAGAAGTTGATAAAAATCTTCAGTATCATCATTTTTTGGATTTTGTGCTACTTTCTATCAGTAGACCACCACAGCTCCTCTCAGTATTTTCGTTTATAGTATTAATTATTTCTGTGTAAATTTGAAATCTTCTGTTCAATTATTTTACATTAGTATCTCATTTCTTTGTTTTGGTTTCTCAATACTGTAGTATAATTTTCAGTCTCCTCTGACATCCATTTTGGTCTTTTTTTCCCCCTCTGATTTTGTATCATTTCTCTTCAGGACTTTGGAGAGGTCCTTAACAGCAGAGTTTCCCAATGCTATACATCTTCTGATCTCCTGACTGCTGGTACCAAGAGTGTTAACCATGGATCCAAGCAAGATAAGATCATTGACAATTTCAATCTTTTTTCTCCATCCATCATGATGGGTCTGTGGGCCGGCCTAGAGCCTCCACTCCAGGAGCTGACTGCTGGTGTCTTGATGGTGGTCATGTCTTGCTGGTAAGCACTTAAGGGAAATTTTTGGGTCATGTTTGATACGTGTTACTGTTCTTTTCACCCCCAAAAGTGGGTGTCCCTTGAACCTTTGACCAAGGGTGGAGGCCTGCTTGACAGTGTATCTTTAAAACCCTGTAAGGTCCTTGGGCTGCAGGCCCTTGGGCCGAACTTATTAATTTTAGAATGAATATTCTTTAAGTGACACAGCAATAGTTTGTTTATTTGCTGTACTGAACAACTTGGAGTTGTTCTGATGCTTAACACTGTTCCATAGTCATGTCAAATACCATAATGGTTGCTTATTATGTACAATGTTTGGATGAGCTTCCAAATTTATTCAGGTTGGGAAAGCAGGAGTGACATCCACTTCCTAACCTAGATGCCTCTGGAAACTCTATAAACTCTATAAATGTACAGAAATGATGTTAGTTATAGAACAGAGTTTAAGTCTTTTGTGCAAAGGTCACTATGAGTTGTATTCGACTTGACAACACTTAACCACTGCTAAATGAGACTATTGCTGTTTTATCTGGAGGAACATTCTTCTACTTTGTACATCACTCTTTGTCAATATGCTGTATGAAGTAACCTGGGTGCTGTGATGCTGAACCTTGTACCACTGAGATGTCAAATACCAGAATGTTTTCTCAATGTGGACAGTATTTGGTGGAGCTCCCAGTTGTAAATCAGGTTTGGAGGCAGGAGTGGCATCCACTTCCTAAACCACATGCCTCTGGAAACTCTATGAACTTGGAGAAACGATGATAATTATGGAAAGGCATTAGGTCTTTTGTTCATAGAGTCATTATGAGTTGTGCTTGACTTGATGACAGTCAACAACAACAATCATGATGTTGCCTATTGGCCCAGTTGTGAGGATTTTTGTTTTCTTAATATCAAGAGAGATGTACTTTATAAGATTTCTGTGTATTCCTCCAGTGAGCTCCCCATGCGTAGCCACCATCTATGTTGTTAAAAAAGTCATTTTAGTAATGAGTAAGTCATTGGCCTTGTAAAATTCAATCATGCAATCTTTTGTGTCATTTTGTCAACAAGGTCATGTTTTCCATCTCCTGATCCAATTTTCACATTCCAGTCACCAGTATTTTATTCATACATCTTGGCTGCATGTTTGATCAATTTTAGACTGCAGAGATTGATAAAAATATCAAGTTTCTTCACCTTTGGCATTAATGATTTCTGTGTAAATTTGAGTCATAGTCACATTGACCAGTCCGCCTTGTAAGTGTATGGATATTATGGTGTTACTAATAGGGCTGTACTTTAGTATAGATCTTGAAATGGTTTTTTTGATGATGAATGTGATGCCATGCATCTTCTATTTGTGATTCTCAACACGATTACCTGATTCAGAATGGCCAATACCAGTCTGTGTCAGCAAATTAATACTTAAGATAGCAACTTTATGCATTCTGTTTTGTATGACTTCCAATTTTCCTAGGTTCATACTTCGTACATTACATGTTCTGGTTTGTAATGGGTGTTTGCAACTGTTTCCCCCCTCATTTTGCAAAGTCAGCTACAACTCATAGTGGTCCTGTGAACAATAACTCTGAACCATGCCCTATCTTAAGCTAATCTGACTGTCTCTGATATACCTGCCTTCTCTACCACAGTCAATCCTTCTCATCCCAGGTCTTCCTCACCTGCACTGACCCTCCACCCTTCCAATAATGATGTCCTTCTCCAAGGACTTATCCCTCCCTCATGCCCAAAGTATGTGAGGCGGAGTTTCAAAATCTTTGCCTCCAAAGAGCAGATTGGTCTCACACTTTCTAGGACAGACCTGTTTGTTCTCTTGGCAGTCTATGGTATGTTCAGTACTCTTTTCTGGCACCACAGCTCAAAGACATCAATTCTTCTACTGTCATCCTTAGTCATTATCCAGCTCTCAGATGCATAGCAAGTAACTGTGAAGACTATGGCCTGGATCAGGTGCACTTTAGTCTCTAGAGTGACATAATTGGTCTTTAGCACTCTGGAAAGGTCCTTGAGAGCAGACTTTCCAGAAACAGCTCATTTTTTGGTTTTAAGAGTGTTGATTGTGGATCCAAGCAAGATGAAATTGTTAACTACCTCAGTCTCTTCTCCATCTATCATGATGCTACCAGTTGGCCCAGTGGTGAGAATCTTTGTCTTCTTGATGTTGACCTTCAATCCATATGGACGACTGCAGTCTTTGGCCTTCTGCAGCAATGCTTCAAGTCCTCCTCACTTTGGCAAAGCGGTTGTGTCATCTTCATAATGCAGATTGTTGATGAGGCTTCTTCCAATCCTGATGCCACATTCTTTTTCATAGAGTTAAACCTCCTGAATGGTGTGTTCCACAAATAAATGGAAAAGTTATGGAGAAGGGATATATCTCTGACACACTGCTTTCTTGATTTTGAACTATGCAGTGTTTCCTTGCTCTGTTCTGATGACTGCTTCCTGGTATAAGTATAGGTTTTGCATGAGCACAATCAAGTATTTTGGGATTTCCATTCTTCTTCTTTTTTAAAAAAGTATACCAGTTTATAAAATTCTAATCCATTGTTTTCCAGAACAGATTCTTCCAGTTTCTTCTTAATGTTATCCACAATTTGCTGTGATCCACACAATCAACTGCCCATATATAGTAATTAAAACACAAATAGACATTCTTTTAGTACTCTCTGCTTTCAGCTAATATCCATCTGATATCGACAATGATGTCTCTAGTGCCACAGCATCTTCTAAGCCCAGTTTGTATTTCTGGCAATTCTCTGCTAAGGTAAAAATGAAGAATTAAAAGTCTTGAACACTTTACTCCATGTCTGTCATCAAGACTGACTACGTTAAGCAGGCCACTCTTCTCTAGTAGTATTTTGAGTTCTTTCCAACTTCCCGCACTATAACAGGCGATATTCTGCTGCTTTCCATAAGGTTTTCACTGGCCATTCTTTTCAGATGTAGATTGGTAAGGCTTCTACCTAGCTTGTCTTGACCTTGCTGGTATTGAAACACTGGTAGAACAGCTTCCAGAATCACAGCAATGAGCAAGACTGTAATTTTGTAGTGTGTGGGTGACAGGTGTGTGGCAGGGGACCAATTTGTGTACACTTACTGTGCCCATAAACTTTAGACAAGGAGTCCCTCAGGTGGGCAGGGTGGGCTGGGGGTTGTAGAGCCTCTTCACTGCACTCTTTCACAGAAGACACACAGGTGAAAGAGGATCTGAGGATGGTAGAGATGCTGATAGCTGACTGAGCAGGGGCTGGGTACAGAAGGTAGGTGACACTTTTCTAGATGCTGTCTTTTTCTTATCCCAGCTTCCTCTTGTCCCTATCTCTTTTCCTGCTTAGCTCCAGAGTATGGAAGGTTCACCAGTGTCCCCGACATGGCATCCCACCTGCAGGCGTCCTCCCTGGATGACTTGCTGTGCTCCCACGTCAACCTCTCCCATGAGGATGAGGCCTCCCCAGGCTGTGTGGCCTCTACCTCGACAACCTTCAAAGCATTCCTTGGGTCCCCAGAGCTACACTCATCAAGCAATATGGACAGGAAGCTGCCCCCACATCTCAGCCCTTTGCAGGACACTCTGGCTGACAAGACCCTGCTAGAGCCCAGAGAGATGGCACGGCCCAAGAAGGTTTGCTTCTCAGAGAGCAGCCTGACCTCTGGGGACAAGACACGAAGAAGCTACTACCTCAGTGGTATGGCGGTGCTGAGGGAGCAGGGCTTGCGGGGGATGTAAGGAGGTTGGGAGCACAGGGTAGAGGGTATAGGGTGTAAGACATGGGTCTAGGACAAAGGACAAGGATGGGGGCACAGAGTATGAGGCACAGTATGGGATGTAGGGTATGGAGAAACGCAGAGTAAGGGTACAGAAGAGGGATGGGGTAGGTGCAAGACATAGGGTCCAGGGCAAGGAGAATAAAGCACAAAGAGCATGAGTGTGTAACGTGGGGCTCAGATACAGGGTATAGAGCTGGGGGCATGGATACAGGCTGTGATGGGAAGGCAGCTTCTGGGAATTGCATGGGCCCTGCTCCTCTGCCCAGCAGCAGAGAGCAGAGAGCTCATTAAGTGGGCAGGGCTGGGCCCACATCCTTCCCAGGGGTTTGGGCAAACACAGGTGGGTTGAACTGACTCTAGTGCCTCAGTTTCCTTGGCTGTAAGTTAAGGAGGTGTGACGGCATGGTCTCCAGGAAACACTCTGGCTCTGCACTGTGCCTTCTCAGGCAGTGCAGGAGGCTCCAGAAGACCAGTGCGACTCCACATCCTCTGGGCACAGGCTGTCTGCTCTCACAAACCAGAGGTAGAGGAAGTATCCTTTAATTCCTAGTTAGAGTTTTCTGGAAGGGATATTGGATTTTGTCAAATGCCCTTTTTTCTATTTTCTTTTTCTGCTGAAGATTTTATTTTCTAATTATATTAGTTTATTTACAAAATTAGAATACATTGTTTTCCAGAACAGATTCTTTCAATTTCCCTCACCCTCCCACCAAATTGTACAACTCCATTGTTAATATCCCCTCCCCCACATATCCTCATCCCTCTGCTTCCACTCTCTCCCCCTTGGATCCTCATACTCACTCATTCTATGAGGGTTTAGTTTTCTTCTGTAGTCTATTTTAATATGGTCAGTTACTTTGATTTTTGAATCTTAAACCACTCTTGCATTCCTAAGATAAAGCGTATTCAATCACGATATATTAGTCCTTTTTTTTTTTTTTGTCTCAACGGCACTTACCACCACCACCAACAACTTGTCAGATTCAATTTGCTAAAAATTTCTTAAGAATATTTGGTGTCTATGAGAGAGGTTCATCTGTAATTTTATTGTAATGTCATTTTCTGGCTTTGGTATCGAGTTAATGTGAGCCTCAAAGAACGAGCTGGGAAGTGTTCTATCCTCTTTAGTTATATAGAAGGATTTTTGTAGAATTGGTATTATTTTGTCCTTGAGTGCTTGGTAACATTCACTACCAAAGCCTTGAATTTTCTCTGCAGGAAATTTGTTATATTTTTCTTCCCCTGTATAAATTCCTTTTTTTAATTCATGGAGGTTTGTTGTTGTTATGTGCTGTTGAGTTGCCTGTGACTCACAGCGACCCTACATGTAGCAGATCTGAAGCCTGCCCTGTCCTGAGCCAGTCTCACAGATTCCGACACACCAACCCCATTGCCCTAGTTATTGCATCTCATCTGGGATCTTCCTCCCCGGTGCTGTCCCTCCACCCTTCCGAGCATGATGTCAAGTAAAATGAAATCTTATTGAGTGAACTTTCAGTATTTTGTTAATGTCAATCAAGTGATCTGATTTACTGGCATAAAATCGTTCTTGAAAAAAACCCCAAGAAACTTATTGCCATTGAGTAAATTTTGACTCATAGTAACCCGAGTGCTTGGACTGCTGTGTCACATTATTGCTTTACTATAGGAAGCAGGAATGGCATCCACTTCCTAAACAGCATGCCTCTGGAAACTCTATGAACTTTGAGAAACGATGGTTATTGAAAGGTTTCAGGTCTTTTGTTCATAGAGTCACTATGAATCTTGCTTGACTCGATGGCAATCAACAACAACCACAACCACAACAGCATATGTAAACTTATATAAAGTATATAAGTTAAAACACTTAACTGCTAACCACAAGTTAGCAGTTCAACCTTAGTTCAAATCCACCAGCCACTCCACAGGAGAACAATGGGCAGTTTGCATCCCTGAAGACTACGGCCTTCAAAACGCTATCCTACAGGGTTACTATGAGTCAAAAGTGACTAAACGGCAAGACGTTGGTTTGGGTTTTTTCCAAATTCACCACTTGTCTGTTCAGCAGAGTCATTCATGGTGAGCAGGCTTCAGGGGGGCTTCCAGATTAAGATGGACTAAGAAACAGGACTGTTCATCCACTTCTGAAATAACAGGCTTTTGCAAAATCTCTGTGGGTAACAGAAAAACGCTGTTGGATATAGTGTCTGAAGGCGAGCCCCTCAGGTTGGAAAGCACTCAAAATGTGACTGGGGAAGATCTTCCCCCTCAGAGTACACTCTACCTTAATGACTCAGTTCAAGTAAAGCTTTAGTCAATGCAAGACCTTTATTGGCTGATGAGACAAGACTCAAAATGAGGTAAAACAGCTGTACACCCATTAATGATTAGAATGTGGCATCTACAAAGTATGACTCTAGGAAAATTTGAAATTGTCAGAAAAAATGGAATGTATAGAGATTGACATGCAAGGAATCAGTGAGCTGAGATGGACTGTACTTGGCCATTTTGCATCAGACAGTCATATGATTTACTATGCCAGGAAAGACAAATGGAAGAGGAATTGTGTTGCATTCATTGTCAAGAAGAACATTTAAAATGTACACACCATTCACCCTGAAACCCACAGCGTCTCTTTTCAGCAGGAAGTAGCTAAGAGAATATGCCATCCCCTTTTCCTTATGAATCAGGGTGAAGTCTCTCTCAGGGAGGAGTGACACACACTGACAAAGGAGATTAATCAGAACTGACTTTGACAAGCACTGTGGCAATTGGACAATTAAAACAGACATTCGGCAGGGTGGAAGAAGAACGAACTGGGGAGGAGGGTAGAGAAAACAGTGCAACAATGAAGGAATGAAAACCCCAAATCCATGTAAATGTTCATTAAAACGAATAAAATTTAATAATAATAATTAAAAAAATGTACACATCAAAAGACGAAAAGGGTTTCTACCAAATTTCGCAGTATGAAATTGATTGAAAATGCAATCAAGATATATTCAAAATTGCTCATTCTGTGCCCAGCAAAGCCATGGCTCATGGTCCCAAGAAGAATCTGAAGCACGTAGCATCTCCAAAGCATTGGATGCTGGACAGACTTACTGGTATGTTTGGTCTTTGTCCATCTACTGGTCCCTATAAACTGTCAGAATGTCTGCCACTGATAATTTCCTTGAGAAACAGACTTAAGTATGCCCTGACAGGAGATGAGGTAAAAAAAACAATCTGCATGAAGCGGCTCATTAAGATTAATGGCAAGGTCCGAACTGATATAATCTACAATGGATGTGATCAGCATTGACAAGACCAGAGAGAATTTCCATCTGATCTATGACACAAAGGGTTATTTTGCTCTTTACTGCATTGAGCCTGAGGAGGCAAAGTACAAGTTATGCAAAGTAAGAAAGGTCTTTGTGGGCACAAAAGGAATCTCTCATCTGGTGACCCATGATGCTCTAACCATCCGCTCCCTTGATCCTCTCATAAAGGGGAATGACACTATTTAGGACTGCTTTAGAGACTAGCAAGATTACTGATTCCATCAAGTTTGACACTGGTAATTTATTATGCGTGGTGACTGGAAGTGCGGTGCTAACCTGGGAAGAAATGGTGGATCACTAACAGAGAGTGACATCCTGACTCTTTTGCTGTGGTTCATGTGAAAGATGCCAATGGAAACAGCTTTGCTACGCAGCTTTCCAACATTTTTGTTATTGCCAAACGGCAAAAATTTAACTGTGGATTTCTCTTTCCAGAGGAAAGAGTATCTGCCTTCTCATTGCTGAAGAAAGAGATGAGACTGGCTGCAAAACAGAGCAGTGGGTGAAAGGATCTCTAGGTGATGTGAACAAAGAGGACAAAATTAAAGATAATACAGCATGAAAAAATACATTAAAAATAATCAGTGAGGCAATAAGAGAGATAAAAATCAAAACCACAATGAGATACCAGTAGCAATGGCAAAGTTTAGCAGGGCAGCAAGTAATAAATGTTGGAGAGGATGTAATGAGTGAGGAACTTTTATACATTGTTGGTGGGATTGTAAAATGGTGTAACCACTCTGGAAGGCAGTTTGGTGTTTCATCAAAAAGTTGAACATAGAAATTCCACATAACTTAGCTATTCCACTGCTTGGAATATAGCCGAGAAAAAGAGAACTGAGGCACAGACACTTGTACACTAGTGTTCATAGCATTACTCACCATAGTAAGAACATGGAAACAGCCCAAATGTCCAACCACAATGGAATGGATTGAGAAATTATGGTACATTCACACTATGGAATACTATGCAGCACATGGGAGCAATGATTTTGTAAATTACTACCTAACATGGGAGGGACTGGAAAGCATTATGCAAAATGAACTAACTCAGTCTCTAAAGACAAATACTGTATAGGACCATTACTGTAGAGGGTGTATGAGGATCCATCTTCTTCCCATTGGCTCTCACAAAGCAGAAGCACTCATATTAGAGAATTCAGCTGCTTCCTCAATCTCCAACTGAAATTAAAGACCAAGAACGCTCTAAGGTGGGTGCTTCTTCTTTGTGAGAGCCAATGGGAAGAACATGGACCCATTGGGGAATTCTTGGTTTTGAAGCAGTGTGGAATGAAGGACTTCATGGAGTGCCTTGGTTTTAAATTTTAGTCCTAGTGTTGTTATTTTTTTGAGAACATACTTTTAAATCATATTCTATCAGTTTGCCATACTGAAGTAATCTGAGTTTTCTGTGATGCTGAGCCTTGTGCCCTTTTAGGTATTAAATGCCATAACGGTTACCCATGGTGGACAGTGTTTGGTGGAGCTCCCAATTTAACACAGGTTTGGAAGCAGGAGTGGCATCTACTTCCTAAACCACATGGAAACTCCATGAACTTGAAGACATGACTATCGTTATAGAAAGACTTCAGGTCTTTTGTTCATAGGCTATGAGTTGTCACCAACTCGACGGCAATCAACAACATGAAAATCCAAAGCGGGGATGGGGGAGCTTAAACATAAAGTCGCACAATTTGATGGGTGGAGAGAGGAATTGGTAAAGGAAAGGGGAAATGTCTGGTGTAAAAACAATTTATAAAAAAACAAAACAAAACAAATAATCAGTGACTGGAATGCAAAATGTGGAAACAACAGAGAACTGGTGGTTAGCAAATAAGGCCTTGGTAGTAGAAATGAGATTGAGGATAAAATGATAATAGTTGCACAATTATTTATTCATTGCAAATACTTTTTTTAAAAGATAAAATTTTAATTCCATACTGATTTACTTAAAAATTTCATATATATTTTTCACATTGGATCTTTCCCATTTCCTTTATTCACACCTCCACAATACATTTTTAAGCATAACTCATCACTTCACATGGACCTCACCTAATGAACTGAACAGAAATCATGCTGGCTACATTTGTGGAAAGGAAAGAGTTGATGGAGAAGCTTAATATCAGCAGTCAGGACAAGACTAAGGGCTGACTATAGAACATATCATCAGTTACTCATGTTAAGGTTCAAACTGAAGTTGAAAAAACAGAAACCAATTCCACAAGAACCAAAATATGATATTGTTTGTTGTTATTGTTAGGTGTCATCAAGGTTTTGTGACTCATAGCGACCCTATGTACAACAGCTCCTGAACCCTGCTCTATCCTGAGCCTCTTTCAGTCTACAACACACTCCCATTATTCCAGTCACTAAGTCAATCCATCTCATTCAGGGTCTCCCTCTCTTGTACTGTCCCTCCATCTTCCCAAGCATGGTTTCCCTCTCCAAGAACTGATCCCTCCTGGTAACATGCCCAAAGTATGTGAGATGAAGCATCAAAATCCTTGCCTCCAAGGAGCAGCCTGGTTTCACCCTCTCTAGAACAGACCTGTTTGTTCTCTTGGCACTCCGTGATGTATGTTTACTACTCCTCTCCAGCACCACAACTCAAAGGTATTAATTCTTCTATCATCCTTAGTCATTGTCCAGTATTCTGATGCATAGCAAGTAATTGTGAAGGCCATTGCTTTGATTAGGCACACCTTAGTCTCCAGACTGACATAATTGCTCTTCAGTTTTCTGGAGAGGTCCCTGACAGCAGATTTCCCCATGCAATTCATCTTTTGGTTTCCTGGCTGTTGATACCAAGAGTGTTGATTGTGGAACCAAGCAGCTGAAGCTTAACAATCACAATCTCTTTTCTGTCTATCATGATGCTGCCAATTGGCCCAATGGTGAGAATCTTTGTTTTCTTGATATTGAGCTTCAATCCATATTAAAGGCTGCAGTCCTTGACCATCTGCAGCAATGCCTCAGGCCCTTATCCTAACTAAATTTTATAATTCCATTCATCTCAAGAATAGTGGTGTGCTTTTTTTTGTTTAAAAAGAATAGATTTGACTGACCAAAAAAGAATTATGATTAGGCATTATATGTATGACAACAATCTGGATCAAGGAGTGCATTGTGGGGTGGGCTGGGCAGAGGAAGAAAGTATGCAACAAGGAAAAAAGTATTTAAAAAAGAGAATTGCCTTGATTCACTGAACACTATTGCCCCAAGACTAGATGAGTGGTGGAATGACATCAAAGATATCATCCACAATGAGAGCAAAAGGTCATTCCAAAGACAGAGGAGAAAGAAAAGACCAAAATGGATGTCAAAAGAGACTCTAAATATTGTAACAGAACATAGAGAGGCTAAAACAAAGAAGCAAAAATGCTAAAGTAAGATGAATGGAACATTTCAAAGGGCAGCTCGAGAAGACAAAGCAAAATGTTATCATGAAATGTATGAAGAGCTGGCAATAGAAAACCAAAAGGGAAGAACATCCTTGGTATTTTCAAACTAGAAGAACTGAAGAACAAATCCAACCCTTGAGTTGCAGTACTGAAGGAGTCTATGCACAAAATCATGAATGATGCAGGAAGCATCAAAAGAAGATAGAAAGAATACAGGGTCATTGTACTAAAAAGAATTGACTGACTCAGGACCATTTCAGGAAGCAGCATATGCTCAAGAGCAATGGTAAGCTCAATCTTCACTGAAGGCATTGGCAAAAAGTAAGGTCCCAGGAACTGATAGAATACAATTGACGTATCTCAGCAGACAGAGCACTGGATGTGCTCATTAGTCCACGCCAAGGAATTTGGATAACAGCTACCTGGCTAACTGACTGGAAGAGTTATATGTGATCCCATTCCAAGAAAAGATGATCCAATAGAATGTGAAGATTCAAACAATATCACGGCGGAATGGAGATACCCCCTCTACAACCACAGTGTCAGCCCATTAGTCAAAAAGGACATAATCATAGGGTCGTCCAATTGATGGGTGGGGCGGGGTATGGGTAAAGGAAATAGGAAAGACCCTGTGTGAAAAACAGTGTATACAAACTTTGTAAGAAAACCAGAATAAATAAAAAAATTATATTAAAAACTAACCAAACAAACAAACAAACAAAAAGGACACTCACCAGAAGTGTATCCAGAGTTTGTAAAGTATGGCACGTGCCCAGGGCTGCATGTAAATTTCTATTTTATCATTGCCAGCTGTGAGAAATTATTTATCAATTTAAAACGAATCATCACAGGCATCAATTTCCATAGATAGGCCTCTGTCAAATACCTTGAACTTTATAAACTTGCATTTCATCCTTGCACAGGGCCATGCTAATCGTCTTGTGTATTGTTCCAATTTTAGTATATATGCTGCTGAAGTGAGCACAATACCTTGAACTTTAGAAACTTATGCTGACCGTTTGACTCCAGTTTACCCCAGGTTAATATTTGGGGAGTGAATTAATGCATTGCTTAATTATTGCTTCCAGAACCTCATGCAGACAGGTCTGTGGTGGAACATTAGCTTTCTCCCCCTTGAGAACCTCTCTTTCCCTATGACAACCTGTACCTTCAGCTGATGGCTGTCAAGGAAGTCAGGCCTGAACTAAATGAGCCTCACTCAGGGAAACGCCACCAGAATTCCAGGCCATTCAGTGCCCTCCTCTCCCTGCTAAGGAGCCATGGTCACAGAGGACACAAGCTGTCACTATTGGGTCATGATCCCTGCTGTCTTCCATCACAACAATTATACAACATAATGGCCCTGGGAAGGACCTGACTTTGCATTCTGAACTCCCAGAGATTCTAGACTGTGCAGCCTGTGAACCTGAAGAACAGGTTCTGTGGTCTCCAAACCCATCCACCACCCATACATCTATCCTGAGCACACTAGGAAATGTTGCTTTGGACATGCCTGTAGTATCTGACTTTGGAAAACAGGCTTTGGGACATGCTGGTATGACTGCTTGTCCCACCACTGCCTGTGTCACATTCCCAACTGGTCTCTGTTTGCTTTGTCCATATGAGGCTGGTCTTGGCAGTCTCACCCTGTAACATTCACTGCACTTGTCACCTTTGGAAGCATTTGCACAGTTGTTCATGGGCACATAGTGTCCAGGTCACTGGCATCCTGGCACCTGGCTTGGGGCTGGTGTTGGAAGATAATATTTGTTCATGAGTGAGCTAACCTCCCACAAGACTATGGCTGGTCACAAGCAGGACTGGTCCTGGATCCTGACCCCACAGCTGGCTGTGGAGGGAGGTGGGGAGCCAAGCAGTGGTGCTGCAGGTGTGGGTGTGACATCTCAAAGTCACAGGACTACCAAGAGGTGTCCTGAGTGTTGGGAGCTCGAGTTTCACCCTCCCCAAGCAACTGGCCTCCTCAGGCAACAGTTCTTAGAGCAAATCATGATGTGCTAGGTGCCTGATGAGGTGAATCTTGGTGGATTGCACCCACATGCAGCCTTGACAGGTTCTGATAATTTCTATATTCCGGAAGATTTAGGATAGTTTTAGAAATGTGCATGCTTTGTAGTGTCTCTCTTCAGGATGGAAGAGATGAAAGTCTGTGCTCTCCAGCAGTCCTGAGAGACACTGGGCCTTGATGAAAAGTCCCCACCGTAGGGCCAGTGTCCAGTGTCCCTCCCTGTCCTCTGAGCTGGTTTTCAGGCAGTCATGGTGGAGGAGCCATATGAGGTCCATCAGAGTGCTCCCTCCATTGTGACTCCATCAGCATGCCCCCACAGCTCTTTGCAGAGTAGTCAGGGTCAGTGTTGGTATTGGGGAGCATGAAGTGCTGTGCTGATTCTAAGAGTACTTCCCCACCACCCCACTTGCAGTCTTTCAATCTGAGGTACACCTGCAATAATGGGCATTGTATTTTTCCGAGGGCACAGGGGTTTTACTCTTCTTGATGCATACTGAGTTGTTTATGAACCATGGAGTGACTTTAGAGGCTAGGTAGGGTGCAGATAGCTGGAAGCAAGTTGGACATGGGTGGGAGTGCCCTGAGTAATGGGGAACCTGAGGATTGGGTAGAGATGGGAGCTCAGCTGGAACGAGGGGCAGCCACTAGCAAGCACCCAGCTCTCCTAGGGCCGCTGGGGCCTGGGAAGAAGGAAGGTGAGGGAACAAACCAGCATCCAGCTCATCTGTATGAAGACTTTGGGAAGCCCAGGAGACTGTGACTGTGGGGTTAGTTTCTTCTCTTAATCAGTTAGAGGGCAGTTTGCCCCGGGCGCTCTGACGGGAGTCCAGGGCTTCATTCTCCACCTGTTTGTTTCCCACAGAGATCCAGGGTTTCTCCAGCGCAGAAAAAGACGGCCGCATAGTCGGTGAGATTGCCTTCCAGCTGGACCGGCGTATCCTGGCCTACGTTTTCCCGGGAGTGACGCGGCTGTATGGCTTCACTGTGTCCAACATCCCCGAGAAGATCAAGCAGGTGATCGATCCATGGGCTCCCCGCTCTGCTCTGTCACTCGCAGCAGCCCCACCCAGGCCTGGGGCTGCAGGATAGTCCCTGGTATCCGTGAGGAACACGCTGTGAGGGACATCACACTGCCCACCTGGCTCTCATCCCAGATACCTTCAGGAGGGGCCACAGTTGTCATTGCCAAGTTACTTCTCCAGGACACTAGTTTTAGGCTTGGATTAATTTCTCCTCTGGACTTGGAGTTTGGAGAGGAAACGAAGAGACTTACGTTGGGTGGCTGGGTCAGCTCAGGACCTCAGTTTCCCCATCTAAGCAATTTGAGTAAGGAAGAGCTGCCCTGAGAAAGCAGACAAGGCAGGCAGGCCAGCACAAGAACATACAGACAACGGAAGTGGTGGGAATGGTCTCCACCTTGGGATCTCCCCACTTGGGTTTTTGTCTTTTTTGGACCACGCCCCCTCCCTGCCCCCGCCCCCTCTGTGGTCACATCCCTTGTCAGTGTGTGATCTCCTCTCTCCTCCTTTATATTGCCACCCAGTACCTTCTCCACCTAATTCACCACGGACCCCTTCCCACCCCCGTTTCCTCCACCTTCCGGCGCCCCCCCTCCCTCTGATACCTGAAACTTCCCCTTCTACCCTTCTTCTGTTTAGTCTTTCCCTTTATCCTGTGTCTCTGGTTCCCCCCCCGCCCCCCGCCCCACTACTCTATGTGCAACTTCACCTCACCTCACCCTCCCCTCGGCTCTGCTGCTCCCTAGACCTCCATCAAGTCGCTGGACGGCTCAGTGGACGAGAAGAAGCTGCGGGAGCTGACGCACCGCTACCTGACGCTGACGGCGCGCCTGGAGAAGCTGGGCTACAACCGCGACGTGCACCCGGTGTTCAGCGAGTTTCTCATCAACACCTATGGCATCCTGAAGCAGCGGCCCGACCTGCGCGCCCACCCGCTGCACAGCAGCCCCGCAGCGCTGCGCAAGCTGGTCATTGACATAGTGCCGCCCAAGTTTCTGGGGGACTCGCTGCTGCTGCTCAACTGTCTCTGCGAACTCTCCAAGGAGGACACCAAGCCTCTCTTCGCCTGGTGAGCGCCGCCGCGCCCCGGCACTGCTGCTGCCTCCACAATAAACGTGTTTATTCAAACCCGGGCGGCGCTCCTCCTGCGCGTCCCCGGGCGCCGCTGTTCGCCGCCGGGCGCCCAGGTCCGGAGCAGCGCCCCGAGGACGCGGGGCCACAGCGCGCACACGCTCGCCGCGCGCCCGCGCCCGCCCCCCGCCGCTCACACTGCGCAGCGACGCTTGTAGCACTTCATTAAAGTCGTCTGTTTACTTTCCTGCTTCCTGTACCCTCTCGGCTCTTTGAGGGCGCAGCGTGCCGTCCTGCCCGCACGCAGTGGTGCAGGTCTGAGGTTGTGGAAGGAAACTTCCTGGAGCAAGGAACCCAGGAGAGGTGACCGCAAGGCAGGCCTCCACCCCTCCTCACCCACCGGACTCCCTTCCAGCCAGGACGAGGTATCTCCCATCGCAGCATTTCCCCAATCTTAGCCTGCCCCTGGGGCGTCATAGTTGGGCTTCCTTCACCAAGGCAGGATCCGAGATCTAATTGGGAGATCAATATGATGTTTACGAAAAAAATGAAACTGAGGCGCCCGGGGTGCTCACAAATGAATAATGCAAAGGCAATAAAAACACCATTAAACCAAGCGGGGGTGGACGTGGGGGACGCTGTGGACCAATCTGCTTGTTTCCAGGTAAAAGGGATTCTAGGTGTGGCTCTGCATACAGGTTGAAAAGATATGGACAGGACACATCCCTGGCGTACACCCTTCCCAATTTTGAACCATGCAGTGTTGCCCTGCTCTGTTCTGACGACTGCCTCTTGGTCCAAGTATAGGTT